CTCCTACCTATTCAGCAAGTCAAGATCTGAGGATTTCCATTTGAAGCCAGCCAGGCAGGAAAATCCATGAGACTGTTATCTCCAATAAGGAGGTCTAGCTTTGTGCGAAAAAAAACTCAAGGATAACACCCAGCCCCTGAGTTCAAGCCCCAGGACTGGCACAAAACAAAAAACAAAATTAGACCTAGGCCTGGCTCTCAATTGTTTTCTGTTTACCCAAGAGCCACTGACTTATACCTGAAAACCTCTGCACTTGATTCCTTGGTGAAGAAACAGAAGGGAATGAGAGTAAATTAGCAGCAGCTTTGCTGCCACCGCCGCCCCTTTTCCTAGTCCTACTTCCCCTGGACTCTGTTTCTGTCACAGTGGAGGAAAGAAGTACTTTGCCACATGCTTACCTCCCCATCTGTGCCTCTGGTCCGTGCGTGGTTTCAGGGTTGGCTTGAGGACAGGAAAAGGGGAGTCCTCGCTGGGTGGCGGGGGGCATGGCTCAGGGCGGTACCACTGGAGAGATGGAGGCAAGGACCTAGGGTCTGACGGTTTCCCTGTGCGCCCAGGTGTTCCTGCACGAAGCCACTGTGCGCCTGATGGCGGGAGCCAGCCCCACCCGCACCCACCAGCTGCTGGAGCACAGCCTGCGGCGGAGGACCACTCAAAACATGAAGCACGGTGAGTTCCGTGGGGAGCCCGGCCCAGCCCAGCATGACTCCCCCAAAAAAGCCATCATGAGCCATAACGGTGCCTTGGGAGTGAGATGGTGCTGTGGGCCGCAGGGTGGGTGTAGGCTGAGCGGCTCCACCCGGGTGGGAGGTGCGCATGAGTGGGGCTTGGGTTCCAGTCTCAGTCCCCCACGCTGGGGTGTGGGGTAGGGGAAGCAGCTTCACAGGGTAGGGGAGGTGAGTACGTGGGGCCACACTGGGACCTCAGCTGGGTGCATCTCATCCCCACAGGCGAGGTGGACGCCTGGCCTGGCCAGCGAGAGCGCGCCACCGCCATCCTGCTGGCCTGCCGCCATCTTCCCCTCTCCTTCCTGTCATCCCCGGGCCAGCGGGCGGTGCTGCTGGCCGAGGCTGCCCGCACCCTGGAGAAGGTGGGCGACCGGCGCTCCTCCAGCGACTGCCAGCAGATGATTGTCAAGCTGGGTGGTGGCACTGCCATCGCCGCCTCCTGACTGCGCGGCCTGGCCCACGTGCCCTCCACCGTCTCCATCTTTGTCCTGGGGTCCTCCCTCTGTCTCTGAGCCTCTGTCTCCCGCTAGAGAGCCACGGGGTACGGACCAGCCTTGTCTTCTGGGCAGAACCCCTTCAAAGTCACGTCAGTCGATGCCCATAGCCCTGGCGTGCCGGGCAGGAATGGGGGGTCGAGGGGCTCCTGCCTCTGGCCCTCCAGAGACTTCCTCGGCGTCTCCCCAGTCTGCTTTTTTACCACGTTTCTCTCTGGGGGGGACTAAGTCTCTGGGCACCGGAGAGCACTTTGCCCTCAGGACTTGCCCGCATGCCTCTTCCCCTTTTTATACGAATGTTTTTATATACACGTGTGCTTGCGTCTGCCGTGATGCAGGGCAGAGCTGCTGTGGCATCTTTATTTCCCTCCTAGGTCTGCCACCTCCCTGTGCCTGACTAAGCCAGTTCATTGTTTTCTCATCATTCCCTGGATCAGCCAGGGAAGGGGAGGGGCAGGCCTAGGGGGGGGTTGAAATAATGTTGGCATTATTTTTTAATTTTTTTTAAATAAATGGTATCTTATTTAATTGTCCTGTTTCTTCCCACTCCCCCCCCCCGGGGGGGGCTGGGCAGGATGAAGGCCTGGGGGCGAGTCTCCTGCTTGATTTCCAAGTGCCCTCCCACCCCACCCGAACTCCTACCTCCACAGTATATTTTTATCCCTAATCTTTGTCCTGTAAATAAGCCGGGTGGCGGAGACCACCGCCAAGCCACCCTCACAAGCCCCTTTTCAGGGTGGACAGCGGGAGCCCCATTCCTTGCTGTGAGGGGGATCCCAGGAAGAAACATGGTCCACCTTTTCTGGATCCCAGGGCTCAGAGTCCCCTAGGAGATGATTCCTCTCCAGGTCTTCCCGAAAGACTGAAAAGGCCCCTCCCCGTGTGTTCTGCCCCTTCAGGAGGTTGGGGCAGAGCAGAGGGTGGACAGGAAGCCTCAGCACAACCAAGTGCACACAGCAGGGCCCCTCCTCGTGCTTGGACCCCCCACACACACACCTACTTTCCATCTCCTGCCCTCCCCCACTGTCACTGTAATTTATGACCTCTGCCCACAGGGCCACCCAGCCCTTGTGTCGTGTGTGTCTGTGTGTGTGTATATACTGTGCCTTTTCTTCTTTAGGGGTTGGGGGTGGCCTTCCACTGAAAAGGGTGCCCTATGGCTTCCTTGATGTTGAATCATTCACCGTGTCCTGGACGTAGGTTACTCAATAAACAGATTGCTTCCACCCAGCACAAAGTGTGTGAGGGTCTGTGGTGTGGCTGCTGTCGGGACTTCTCAGGTGGCTGCAGACCTTGGCTGACTGAGGGCAGCCGAGTAGCTTTAGTTTAACAGGTCTTTCACCTCAGCGAGCCTGGCCTCCCCCAGTGCCAGCACACACTCCGGGGACGCACACAGGACCGCAATCAAAGAGCTGTTTGGTGCTTCTAGAGTCAAAAGGTCACGGTACATTGGAACATTCTAACTTGTTCCCTGGACAGAGCTGGCATGTTGGCTGACAGGGATTTGGGATGCTGTCTCTCGTTCCAGTGGGTGGACCACTTTTGTATGTGTGTATGTGTGCTGGTCCTGGGGCTTGAACTCTAGGCCTGTCCCTGAACTTGTGCTCAAGGCTAGCCCTGTACCACTTGAGCCACGGCTCCATTTTTTTTTGTTGTTTTTTTTTGGGGGGTCCGGTTGTGGGGCCTGAACTCTTGGCCTGGGCGCTGTCCCTCAGCTCTTCAGCTCAAGGCTAGCGCTCTACCACTTGAGCCACAGCGCCACTTCCGGCTTTTTTTCCTTTTTGCTTATGTGGTGCTGGGGAATCGAACCCAGGGCCTCAGGCATGCAAGGCAAGCGCTCTTCCACTGAGCCACCTTCCCAGCCCTCCATTTTTTTTTTTTAAGTGGTTCATTGAGATAAGAGTTTCACAGACTTTGCTGCCTGGGCTGGCTTCAAAACTATAAATTCTCTGCCATCAGTCTCCTGAGTAGCTGGGGTTACAGACATGAGCCACCAGCACCTGGCCTTAGGTAGATCACATCTTCCCTTTCCCTGCAGGCTAAAGCCCCGAGACCCAAGCGTAGCTCCCAGCTGGATTACCTTGGGTGGGGTCTTGCCAGGTATACAAGATGGGGCTGCTAATCCTGCCTTCCATCAGTCCCATAGGCTTGTAGGATGATATGACATACTTGAGGACAGGTACCCTGTGATGCTGGTGAGAGGCCCGGGACAAGACCACACCAGGGTCTTGATGGGTATGGGTTAGGAAGGGTACATGGGCCTTGGGCAGGCCATGTGGGAAAAAGCCTGATGTTGAATTGCACATCCATGCCTGAGACCCGCTCACCAGGACAAGCAGCAGCCCTGCGCACACCTTTTCCTCCGGGCAGTCACTGCTGGCCACACTGTCCTTGGCACAGCAGCCCAAGTTGTTCCTTGGCTACTTCAGCATTTTCATTAGTAGCCCCTACCCTTAGCCTAAGCCAGGCCCTAGGGGAGACCCAGGGCTCTTGGGGCTAAGGATGAGCAGAGAGATGGTAGCCACCTCCTAGCCCAAGCAGGGCCCATCACCAGAGTGGGTGGCCTGTGTGCCCAGAAACTGGATTCTTTTTCGTACATCTCAGCAAGCACCATGACTCAGTACCTGCTCCCTTCCTACGGTTCCGAACAGCTGTGGGACAGCGCCAGGGCACCTTCCCCAGCTTAAGATGGTGGTGGGAGAGCCCTCTTCCCATGAGCCATGGAGACTGTGGCTTTTGCAGGGCCATGGGCTCCGGGACTCAACAGCCGAGATGGACCTTCCAGCAGGAGATGGACTGAGACCGGGCTGGGTGAGCCAGGGCCTCAGGGCAGCCCAGCCAAGGAAAGGAGAGCAAGGCTGCCCATGCCCTGGGAGCGGGCTCTTCTTCCTGCCGACCCGTCTCAGCTCCTGGTGCCATGATGCAGGAGGGTCCCATCTGCAAGTCAGCAACTTATTTGGGACCCAAGACTCAGTTTCCATATCTAAAGGCACAGCCCTGTGATCTCTTGTGAGGACTAAATAAGACAGCAACAAGCGGTAATTACTGTTCAAAACAGTGTACCATGTCAGAAAAACACCCAACCAGGTGGCTTGACTGGCTGCAGCGCCATCCCTTCCCCCTTCCTCTCCTCTACACAAGCAGGCCAGTCAGTACCTGGAACAGAGGAACTTGGAAAGACATGCCGGCTGCTGGCAGTGTCCTGGGCCTCAGCCAGGTACCAGGAACCCTCCTGGCAGGCAGGGACAGGCAGTACTGGGCATGCGCAGTGTGAGTGCCCTAAGGGAGGGGTCTGCCTGGCTCCCCCAGCATCTCCATCATTCTTACCCAGGGCAGCACCTCTATCCTGAGCACCAGATGTCCACATGGCCCACACGCACTAGGGGGGTGGCTATGGGCCAATGTGGCCAAGCAGCCCGCAGGCCAGGGGCCGGCCCAGGGCCAGGCTGTCAGCGAGGCTCAGCCAGGCTCAGCCAACTCAAGCTGTAGAGTGTGCGGCCAGCTCACGCCTTGTCCGCGGACACAAACAGCACACGGAGCCCAACAGTCCTCTCTCCCCTGTGCCCATGCCTTAAGATGGCCGAGGCCTGGCTGCGCCCCTCCATGGCTTCCCCGGTGGGAGCATTAGGCCTGGCATTCAACCTTGGCCTCCCTCTCCAGCCACTTCTCCTTGGCACCCGGCGGGTATGATCCTCCGCTCTTGCCCATGCTGTGCCCTCTGCCTGCACTGCCGTCTGTCTAGTCCGTGACCGGTGCCGCCATCAATGCCTCGGGCAGGAGCCACAGTACAGGGTTTATTTACATGAGGAGCCCTATGGCTGCACCCTTCCGTTGGCCCCGAAACCCCGCGGCTCCAAGGCCTCCGTCCGCCCGGGGCCCGGGCCGGTGCCCTGCCCGGCTGCGGCCGCGCTCAGGACCGATCGCCGTCCGGCCGGTCCTCGGTAGGAACCCGCCCTGCTTCACACGGTGACCTCGGTTTTGCTGTTGGTACTGAGGTGCCGCGGCCCGCGGCCCATGCTGCTGTAGAGGCCGGGGGGCTGCGCGCCGAAGGCCTCGGCGAGCTTCTCCACGCTGAACTGGCGCCGGGGCGCGTGGCCGAGGCGCCGGGGCGCCGGAGAGGCCGGGGCCAAGTGGCCGCGCGGGACGGACCGGGCGGGCCGACCGGCGGTCCAGGCGGCGTAGGGGCCCGACGGGGCCGGGGGCGCGTAGCTCGGCGGGGCCCAGGGGCAGGCGTCCAGCAGGGCAGGCAAGTCCTCCGGGGCCCGCGGGGCCGGCTCGGGGGCGGGAAAGCGCGAGTAGTAGTCCTGCGGGGCGGCCTCTGCGGGGACAGGACCGCGTGGGACTGGTCAAGGTGCGGGGCGACCCGGGCTCCCGCCCGGGCCCAGGGTCCCCGCCAGAGCCGACAGTCCATTGGCTGCGAGGTGGCGCCCTGGGCGCGGATTGGCTGAGCCGGAAGAGCGTGGGAACCGCGGGGCCCCGCCCCCAGACCCTCAGCTCGCCGGCCCGGGAGCTCGGGCGCCCTAGCGTGGGCGCCCTCGGCGGCCACTCACCTGCGGCCTTGAGCGCCGCGGCCTTGAGCGTGGCGAACTTGGCGTAGTTGGGCTGCAAGGTCAAGCTGCCACCGCCCTGCAGCCGAGGTCCGCGCGGGGGCCCCGGGGTGGCCGACCCGAGGGGGGCGTTGTTGAGGCGTTTCTTGTCTAGAGGGGCGAGCGGGGCGGGAAGGAGACGGGAAGGAGACGCAGGCTGACCCCGGACCCCACCTGCAGCCCCAGCTCCGTGGGGACTGGCGGGATGCTCTCTAGGTGAGGCTTGAGCAGACCCCGTCTCCCCGCACCATGCCCAGGACCTGGCTCAAAAGCCAGGAACAACGGCAGCCAGCCCTGAAGGTGCCACCCCAATGTGTGGCTGGCCAGCGCCAGGCAGAGTCCCAGAACCTGCTCCCTGCAGGGAGTGGGGCTGGGGGGGGGGGCGGGGGGACAAGCGTTGCTTCCCCACAAGGCCAAGAGGAAGCCAGGCTCCAGGGCACCACGCCAGAGCCTGACAAACAACAAATCCTGGATCTAGTCTTAGGATCCTAGACCCTGAAACCCCTCTCTCCATCAGGGCAATGACCTGCTGGCCCCGCCCCCATGCACACACATTTCCCTAGGGAGGCACAGAGCCTCCACTCCCCAACCAAGCAAGCATGCGACTCTAACACCTCCCTCCCCGGCAGCCCATGCTCTGCTGGAGATGGCCCCATACCTGCCTCCAGCTGACTCACCTGTGCTGTTGTGGGGGGACCCCCGAGGGAGACCATCACCCATTTGGACCTGGACACAGTTGCCTAAGGGTGGGCCTAGTGGTGGAGGCAGTGTTTCCTGGGGGCCTGGCTGCTTCAGAAGTTCTGTCAGCGTCCTGTGTGGAAAGAGTGATGGAAGGCAGTGCCCTCAGCCTGCTGCTTCCCCTCATGCCTCAGTCTCACTGTCAAAAACCACAGACCCGGCCCTAGAGCAGGCCACCAGCCTGCCTGGAATCCTAGTTTCTCAGGAGGCTGAGATCTGCAGAGTGCGGTTCAAAGCCAGACTGAGCAGGAAGGTCTGTGAGGCTCTTATCTCCAATTAACCGGCAAAAATCGGTAAGTGGAGGGTAAGGAGCTGGGGGCACAGAAATGGAAGGACAAAGAGTGAACAAAGGCAGCAGAGGTACTCACTAGAGACAATGTTGAAAATGAACTGTACAACTTGTGGGTGGGAATGGGAGGGAAAAACTGGGAGAGAGCTGGGAACAGGTGACATTATGACATTGTCCAAAAAGAAATGTATTCTTTACCTGACTTATGTAACTGTAACCCCTCTTTACATCACCTTTATATAATAACCATTAAAAATAACAATTTAAAAAAATTGCTGGTCCCAGGACTCCAACTCAAGGCCTGGGCACTGTCCCTGAGCCTCTCTATGCTAACGGCTAGTGTCTACCACTTGAGCTACAGTGCCACTCCCAGCTTTTTCTGAGTACTTTATTGGAGATAAGAATCTCACAGACTTTCCTTCCTGGGCTGTCTTCTAACTTTGATCCTCAGATCTCAGCCTCCTGTAGCTAGGATTACAGGTGTAAGCCACCACCACTGGGCTTAAAAAATTTTTTAAGCTGAAATGGAACTACAGATCAAGTGATAGAACAGCTCAGGAATTGTGCTCAAGCGCTGAGTTCAAGCCCAGGACTAGCACCAAAATTAAAAAAAAAAAAAAAAAGACAGCAGTAGTTATCAGGGGCACTGTGTGGCCATAGCCATTTCTTTCAAACTCTCTGAGAGATCTCACGTGACACAATCCTGTCAATTTAAGATGGCAACCATCTTAAGTCTGCAAATTTAGTCACTGTGACCAGGGTCATCTAATTTTCCCAGGGCTCTTCTCTAAGACAAGCGCCCCCTTCCCCAATACCTTGCTCCCCCAAGCTCCCTCTGCCTGCAGTGTCCTTTTCTTTAAACCCCATGGGAGCCCCTGGGGGACTTGTGACCTGCCCACCTGCAGCAGGGGCTTCTGCTGGGCCCGGCCCTCACTGCCAGCACAGGCAGGAAGACCAGAAAGGACGGAAGGAAGGAGAGAAGCCAGGAGCTGTTCCTGTGACAGCCCAGCACCAAAGGCTGCGTGACCTTGGGCAGCCACCTCCCTGGGTACCCAGCACACCCAGCCCCCAGCCAGCTGTGACAGTGTCTGACGAGCCTTCCCTACAGACAGCCAACCCAGCCTTCAGCCCAGCTGCCTGCAGCACCCAGAACCCATGATTTTCTCCCATTTGGCCTGACCCTTCTTCTGGGGCTGGACTATGCATGATTCATGAAGAGGTGTCCTCAAGGACACCTGAGGTGGCCAAGGGTTAGAGTGGCAGGGTCTGGCTGATCTTCCGCTTCACCCTCTGCTCAGCGGCTCACTCCTGCGGCGACATCTCACCCAGCTCTCCTCAACTATGGAGATGGCCAGGCTTCCTGGGCCTTGCCGCAGTTTTCTCCAGGAGCTGACTCCAGTCCCCTCCAAGCCCTCTGAGAATTCTTTCCTGGGTGAGATCTGGGCAGGAGTTTGGGACCCCCCCCCCTTAACCATGAACCCAAGACCTCCCCAAAGAGGACAGTCAGAATAGGTCTTATTGAAGCCAGACACTGGTAACACACCTGTAATCCTAGCTACTTAGGAGGCTGAAATCTGAGGACTGTGGTTCAAAGCTAGCCCAAGGAAGGAAAGTCCATGAGACTCTTATCTCTAATAAACCACCACAAAACCAGAAGTGACGCTGTGGCTCAAAGTAGTAAAGTGCTAGCCTTGAGCAAAAGAGCTTAGGGGCGGTGCCCAGGCCCTGAGTTCACGTCCCTCTACTGACCAAAAAAAAAAAAAAAAAGAATAAGTATTATAGGTTCATAGCCAGATGAGCATGGCAGCTAGAATGCCCCACCACGCCCTTCCCCACAAAAGCCAGAGGCAGAACTTCTGTCCCTGAAGCAGCAAGGACCCCAGCTAGACTTCATTTGCAGAGGCTGAATGATCTGTGTGTGTGTGTGTGTGTGTGTGTACACATGTGCATGCGTGTTAATACTGAAGCTTAATCAACCATGGAACTCCAGGAACTCAAGACTGGCACATCACTTGCTCCACATCTCCACTTCCAGCTTTTCTTTGTTGGTTAGTTGGAGATAAGAGTCTCTTACATTTGTTAGCTCAGGCTGGCTTTGAACCTTGATCCTCCTACCTCAGCCTCCTGAATAGCTGTGATTATAGGCATAAGCCCAGTACCTAGCTGACTTCATGATCTTTAAAGCCCCCCACCTCTAGGGCCCAAGAGGAGAAATGCCGGTTTGGTCCGCCACTGCCACTGCTAAATGCCAGCCTGTTGCATGTCCAGCCTGGGCGGGTGCAGCCTCGGGGCAGTTCCCATGCTCCAAGGAGCAGGGCTGTGGGTGGATACCCCTGGCAGGCCGTGGAGGGTGCTAGCGGGGTGAATGAGGGTGATGAACACTCCAGAATCAGGACATAGATTGACCAGCCCGTGTTTCCACCCAGCTAGGGAAGGGAACTGGGGTCCTGTGAACCCCATGTCTCAGCAAGCTCAGAACCCAGGTAGCGCCTGGAGAGATGTTGGGAACACAGAGATGTGTTTCCTCCACACTCCGCTCCCCTTTCCCCTAGGGGAGGGACGCGCTGACCTTCACCTGGGGCTCCTGCGTGGGCTTCTGAAACCCCAGGGAAGGAAGGTCAGGGCTGAGTCACAGCGGGGGAGGGAGAGGGTGGAAGCGGCAGGAGGGAGGGAAAAGGAGAAGCAAGCGTGGAGAAAGCCGAGAACCCCGCGTCTTCCCAGGCCGCAGGGCCTGGGCTCCCCCGCCCATGGGGCCCCCGGCCTCCGTGGGCACCGACCCTGCGCCCTCTCCATAGAGGCTGGAGCCCGGGGCGGGGCGGGCACCCAGCACAGACCGGAAGGTCAAGGGGAGCCTGAGCGGTGTCAGGTGTCTCCCTCCGTGAAGTGGGGACAGAGGGCGACTGACACCCTGCAGAAAGCAGCAGAAAGGCTTCCTGGAGGGCGGTAGGGGAGGACGCGGGGGGGGGGGAGGCGGGGGGGGGGGGCGGCCGGGCGGCGCGCGCTCACCTGGTCACCGTGCGGCGCGCGCGCGGGCTGTGCGCCCGCTCCAGGCCCAGGCGCGCCCCGATGCCGACCAGCACGAGCAGCGCGGCGACGCCGCACACCGCGTAGACGGCCGTGTGGCTGCGCTCGCGGCCCGGGTCCCGGGGCGCCGCGGGGTCGCGGGCGCGGGCGGGCGGCCGGCCGGTCTGCACCCAGGCGGGCGTGTCGTAGTTGGAGCAGCGGCTCTGGTCCAGGCGCCGCGGGCCGTCGTGGCAGCAGAAGCGGTAGCCGCACGTGCCGCAGCAGAAGCTGTAGACGGCCGAGCTGCAGTTGAAGGGCGGGTCCCACTGGCCCATCACGTCGTAGTAGCCGCGGCAGCGATCGCCCCCCGCCGCCGGGGCCGCCGTGCCCGGCGCCGCCGCCGCCGCCTCGGGAGCCTCGGGGGCCCCCGCACGGCCCGACGGCGGCCCCGCCAGCAGCAGCGGCAGCAGCAGCCGCAGCGCGAGCCGGAGCCGGAGCCAGAGGAGTGCGGGCGGGCGGCGGCCGCCCCGCGGTCCCCGCGCCCCAGCCCGCTCCATGCCCGCCCCCACCCCGCGCCGTCCGCTACTGCGCCCCGCGCATGGCCGGGCGCCGCGCGGCTCCCTCCGGCCCGGCTCCCCGGCCCCGCGGTGATGGCGCGGCCCGCGATCCCCGCGCGGGCGCCCGCGGGCCGCCGCCTCGGCTGCTGGCGTCCTCGGGGATCCCAGACCCGGGTAGGCTCGGTGTCCCGTCCGCGGAGCTGGACCTCCGGCGGGCGCGTCCTCCTCCGGGGCGCACCTCGGGCCCGCGCCCGCCGGTCCGCACCCCGGGATCCCGCACTCGGGGCGCGGCGGTGGGTCTTCGCGCGCGGGCGCGCGGCGACTCCGGGCTTCTCCCCGGCCCGGCGATGTGCGGGGAGCCCCGGGCCTGGCGGGGGCTGCGCCGGGGAGGCGGCCCGCCCGACCCCGCTGCCTTCCCGCCGCCCGCTCCGCGCTGCCCGCGCTCGGGCTCTGGCTCCGGCTCCGGCTCGGGCGCGGGCTCGGCGCGGGCTCCGGCGGGCGGGCGGGGGAGCGAGCGAGGGGAGAGGGCGGAGGGCGGGAGCGCGGCGGAGCCGGGGGAGGAGCGCGGCCGCCGCGAGGGGAGGGCGGGGCGCCCCGAAGTCCTCCCCGGAGCAGGGCGCCCCAGGAGGCTCGGTGCTCGGCTCCAGGGACTTCTGCCTCGGACATCGGGGCCCGCGACGGACGGTTCCCGGTTTCACACGTGCGGGATCAGAGTCGCTCGGAGCGGCTCCCCGCCCCCCCCCCAGCCACGCTCCCGTCCCCTCCGTCCCTTCCGATCAGCCCCCTCCCCTCCCGTCCCCCTCCCTCCCCACCCCACGGGCGGGACTCCTCTCCTCCTCCCCCCTCCCCGCAGAGCAGCGGCGGCTCCTAAACCTCCTGACCCAGGTCTCCAGGCCCAGCCGGGGGCCGGGGGCGCGGGTCTCCAGGCCCAGCCGCCCTCTCCCCCCCCCCCCCCATCTCGCTCCTTTGAGCTGCCTCGCCGCCCAGGCCTGCGAAGAGAGCTGTGTGACCTGGGACGGCGCCTTGACCCCATCCTGCCCTGCAGCCACGGCAAGGGGAAGTTGGGAGGCGGCTCTGGCCCTCTGCTTGGGTTGTTGAATTGAGTTACCTTGGCATATGCGGCCTGCTGCAGAACCTTGCTTTTCCCTGACTCAGTTTCTTCTCATGGTACCATCCAAGTCTGCTCCTAGGGAGGAGAGTGCGGTGATGTACTGTAGTCCCACCTACTTGAAACCTGAGGTAGGAAAATGGGGGGGATAATTATCTATCTATCTATCTATTTACCTTTTATTGGTCAGTCATGGGGCTTGAACTCGGCATGAGTGCTGTCCCTCAGCTCTTCAGCTCAAGGCGAGCACTTTACCACTTGAGCCACAGCGCCACTTCCAATTTTCTGGTGGTTCATTGGAGATAAGGGTCTCATGGATTTTCCTGCCTGGGCTGGCTTTGAACCATGATCCTCAGATCTCAGCTTCCTGAGAAGCTAGGGTTACAGGCATGAGCCACTGGAGCCCAGCTCCTTCCAGCTTTTTGCTGGTTAGTTGTAAGTAAGAGTCTCCTGGATTTCCCTGTCCAGGTTAACTTCAAACCTCCATCCTCAGATCTCAGCCTCCTGAATAGCTAGGATTACAGGCATGAGAAGCTAGCACCAGACCTGAACCTACAATTTTAAGACCAGCCCAGCAACATAATGAGACCTTGTCTCAAAAAGCAAAGGAAACAACATAAAACCTCTTTGTGGAGAGCAGTAGAAGCCAATATGACACTTCGCATTGCCTGATGGGACACCAAGAGAACAAGGACTAGGTGTCATTGTGTGCATGTCCCCTTGTCCCCAGCACAGCTCAGCCCTAATGAATGAATGAGGCTAACTTCTAGTTTCTTTTTCTTTTCTTTTTTTTTGGGAGTCCGGTCGTGGGCCTGAACTCTGGGCCTGGGCGCTGTCCCTCAGCTCTTCAGCTCAAGGCTAGCGCTCTACCACTTGAGCCACAGTACCACTTCCGGCTTTTTTCTTTTTGCTTATGTGGTACTGAGGAATAGACCCCAGGGCCTCATGCATGCAAGGCAAGCGCTCTACCACTGAGCCACCTTCCCAGCCCCTAACTTCTAATTTCTGTAACACAAAGAAGCTGGGTGTCCTAGAGCCCCTGTGGTCCTCTTTCCATCCTCCCTTTCCTGGTTCCTGGGATCAACTTGTAAAAGAGGGGGAGGGGGGACAGAAAGGAAGGATTTACATTTTAAGGAGGATCAAGTTCTTCAGTGGCCTGAGATGAAGGACTGACAGGCTAATTTCAGGTATTAGTGAGTTAGGGCAGGAAGGAGGGAGAGCTTCCCCCTCAGAATGTCTCATGTCCTGGCTAAAGATAGCCCACCCCCTCCTCTTCACATGACACTCACACTTGTGCGCGTGCGCGCGCGCACACACACACACACACACACACACACACACACACACACACTTACATGCAGATCAGACAATCCCACCCCCCAATTAAGAGTCTCTCTTTGAGGGCTGGGAAGGTGGCTCGGTGGTAGAGTGCTTGCCTGCCATGCATGAGGCCCTGGGTTCAATTCCTCAGTACCACATAAACAGAAAAGGCCAGAAGTGGTGCTGTGGCTCAAGTGGTAGAGTGCTAGCCTTGAGCAAAAGAAGCTCAGGGACAGTGCCCAGGCCCTGTCCCTGCAATTTTAAAAGAAGAAAAACAGATGAGCAAAGGAAGTGAAATTACTTTTATCACACTAAAATATGACACTGTTTACTTCTGAGTGTTTTGTTTTGTTTTTTATTCAGGGGCTTAAATTCAGAGCCTGGGCACTGTCCCTGAGCTTTTTCACTCAAGGCTAGAGCTCTACCTCTTTGAGCCACTTTAAGCCACAGCACCTCACTTCTGGCTTTCTGGTGATGAATTGGAGATAAAAGTCTCATGAATGTTCCTTCCTGGGCTGGCTCCAAACCAGGATCCTCAGACCTCAGCATCTTGAGTAGCTAGGATTATAAATGTGAGCCTCCAGCGCTACTGCTTTACTTCTGCTTTACTGCGAGTTTTTACCTTGCTTTTTGCCATCCTTCAACTTTTCCTTCTTTCCTTCTTTTCTCCCCTCCCTCTCTCCTTCTCTCCCTCTCTCCCTCCCTCTCTCTGTCTCTCTCTCTCTCTCTCTCTCTTTGGTGCCAAATACTGAGTCTTGAATTCAGAGTCTAAATGCTATCCCTTTGTTTTCTTTTCTGCTCAAGTCTTATGCTCTACCACTTGAGCTACAGCTCCACTTACAGCTTTGCCATGGTTAGTTGTAGATATGTCTTAAGAACTTTCCTGCCCTTAGCTGGCTTTGAACCTTGATCCTGAGATCTCAGCCTCCTAAAAAGCTAGGATTACAGGCATGAGCCATTGGTGCCTAGCAGTGCCTATGCTTTCTGAAGCATTTTTCTGATTCCTTAGGAGTTGTAGGTGAAATGCGATCTGTGTCACAAAGGCTCCTGACTCCCTGACCAGCCACCCTCCAGGTCTCAGAGGGTCACTTTGAGGGTCTCCAAACCCCTCCCCCTCAGCTCCTGGCACCAAGTTTAAAGATTTTAGCTCCCTTGGGATTGTGTGCAGTTTTTTTTTTCTCCTTTTTCTTTTTCTTTTTTGTCGGTTGAGGGGCTTGAACTCTGGGTCTGGGTGCTGTCCCTCAGCTCTTCAGCTTAAGGCAAGCGCTCTACCACTTGAGCCACGGCACCACTTCCAGTTTTCTTGTAGTTTGATGGAGATAAGAGTCTTGTGGACTTTTCCTACCCAGGCTGGCTTTGAACCATGATCCTCAGATCTCAGCCTCCTTGAGTAGCTAGGATTACAGGCGTGAGCCACCAGCCCCCGGCTTGTGTGCACGTTTAAGTGGGGGTGACACTGGTCCAGGGAATCTGCCAATGCTCCGCCAGGGTCACACTCCCTCCTGGGCCCTCCTGCCCCCACGGTCCTGGCACCCACCCATGCTGGGTCCCCTCAAGTCCTGCCAATAGATGTCTCTAGGGACTGCCATTTACCCCAAGAAGGAGCTAGATTCCAGTCCCCACCCTTCCCAGGGACTCAGGTCCAAGCTCTCCCCTCCTCCACAGCTCTCTTCCTTCTTTGCTCAATTCTGTGGTCAGCCAGCAACCACAGGTGCCACAACTACCACGTCTGTGCCAGACACTCAGCGCCTCCCCAGATGAGCTCCTGGCAAGGGGAGCAGGGGATGCGGAGGCAAGCAGCGGAAAGCAGCCCGGCTGGGCCTTGCATCTGACTACCCAGCAGCCCCACGGCCGGCCAGGTGCCCAGCCATGTACTGGCCAAGGTCTCTAGCGATGGCGCAGGCCTTTGCCCTGGAGCCTGGAGACTCCAACCCCAGCAAAGCCTCATAGCGCCCGGCCCCTTGTCTCTACTGTCAGCCCCTCCCAAGCCTGTGTCACCAAAACGTCCATTGATCCAGGCTTAAAATAACCCCTGGCATCTGCAGTGAGCCCTGCAGGGCGGGTGGCGGAGCCAGCAGCATCTCTGCGCCTGAAGGGCACCCGCCCCGCCCCCTGCTCCCGCACTGGCAGCGTGAGTGTGCGTGTCTCAGTGGCTCCTGGATGGGAGTGAGGTGCTGTGCATAGGGGCTTAGCAGGCCTGTGAGGGCCTGCCCCGCACCATGCACATGCGTGTACACACGTGCGTCCCTGTGGCTGGGTCTGCACACGTGTTCTTCCTCCACTGCTCAACTCGGGCCCCAGCGGCCTGGGGTCCTGAGAGGCTGTGCACATGACAGAAAGCCGGTGCTGGGTCACTCTGGGTGATACGTGGCCAGGCTGCGGCTTGCCTGGCTGTGAGTTGGAAAGCTTAGAACTTCCTAGAGAGAAACCCAAGACCCACAGAGGGGAAATGGCGTGCTGAGACTGGCACGCAGCCAGGAAGAGCCAGGGTCTGGTCTGGAACTTGCAAGGCTTGGGGCTCACTTTAGAGAGCAGCTGGAGAACCCCTCTCCTGTCCTCCCTCCTCCCAGCCCCCGATCCCAGCCATCGTAGGAGACCCTTGCGTTGTAGTCGCCATCTTGTCTTGGAACGCCTCCCCAGCCTCTCACCCAGAGCTGAGTCCTGTGTATTGTGCGGTACTGGAGCTCGATCTCACGGCCAGCTACCAGTGCTGTTCCTGAGGGTTTGTGCTCAAGGCTTGAGCCACAGCTCCACTTCTGGCTTTTTTCTTTTCTTTTTTTAAAAATGTTTGGAGGGTGTTAATTGGAGATAGGAGCCTCCCAGGCTTTCCTGCCCCGGCTAGCTCCAAACTGTGATCTTCAGAGCTCGGCCTCCTGACTAGCTGGGATCACATCGCGATCCACCAGCACCCAGCTGAGTTTTAGCCTTCATCTTGGAGCCAGACTAACTGTGTTGCCATTTTGGCCCTATTGAAACTCCATTAACCTTTCTAAGACTGCGTCTTCCGTCTTCCACATGGGCAGCCAGCACCTCTTTGGCAGGGCTGCAGGGAGAAGCCAATGGGGCCCAACTATGAAGTACCCAGGTGGATAGCTGCGGCTTCCTGGGGGTCCCCCTGGGGAAGATGACGCCACTCAGCCAGAGGCTGTCATTCCTAACCTCCCTTCTTCCATCCTCCATGGAGAGGTTCCCCCCAACAGTAGATTTTGGGGATGCTGGACTCCCCCTAGAGCAAATGCCAGCACCAGGAGGGGGTCCGGAGGGAGGGCCCACAGCTGCCTTTGTCTCCTGAGAGGCAGCTAGTGACTCAGACTCCAGCTGCGGGTAGGAGGGAGAGGGTGCTTGGGATTCTCAGGGCACAAGGGAGCTAAGAGACTGGAGGGAGGGGGCAGCGGCGGGAGGCTGGGAGCTGAGGCTCAGCCTTCCTCCTCACAAACCCAAACACCCCATCTGGGGTCACTGCCTACTCTGCCTCGAGTTTCACAGGTAATACCCCAACCTGAGCCCCCCATTCCCTCCTTCAGGAGCTTCCAGGGCCCATCAGACTGTGGAGAGGGGTTTCTCCGCCGGGGCTACCTGGCATGTCTGCTAGGTCAGGGCTGCCCCTCCCTGCCAGCCTGTCTCTTCTAGGATGCAACTCTAAGGTCAGCTCAGAACATAGGGCTGCTGGGGGGCCTCCTATCCCTCCCCCCAAATTTGGCCTTGGTATATATTCAGAGGTGTGGGTGAGGACGCCAATCCCATGTGGACCCCTAGTCCAGGAGCCAGAAGCAGAGCTGGGTATGTAGCTGGCCTGGCATGAAAAAGTTAAAAGCAGTTCACCAGAAAAAGCTGTGGCTCAAGTGGCTCAGGGACAGCACCCAGACCCTGAGTTCAAACCCCAGGACCAGCACACAGTCACAGACACAGAGACAGAAACACAGACACTCATACACACACACACACACACACACACAGAGTGGTCCCACTCCATCCAGCCCCTCCCTTACTCCTCTGCCCTTGACCTTGATGCCGCCCCTTCCCTGCAGGCCTACCATCAAGATGTCACCCTGGGACTGATGGCATCTGCCTGCCTGGGAGTCCATTGTACTGTCCTGGATCTAGGGCTGGAACGCAGATCCTCTGCAGCTTGGGGGGTGGGGAGGAGTCGAGGATCAGGGCCATGACTCATCCAAGGTCCTTCTTGACTATCCCTGTGCCCTGGGGCAGTGGGCCCTATCTACCTCTAACCTGCCCTGCCTGCAGCTGACCCAGCACAATTGTGCTGGGCCCAAGCTGAACATGCTGGAATCCTTCCTATAATCTCCAAGTCAGCAGGGTGGTCCTCAGGAGACCTGTTTTCCATCAGTGGAGCCAGGCCCAGACAGATGCCATCAGTTTCTAGGGAAAGAGGTAAGGCTTTCCTCCCTAGCCTTACCAGCTGGGCCTGGGCCCTACCCTGAACCCCTAGCCCTTGACTACCAGGCAGGAAGTGAGAGGAGGAACTGAGACTTCAGGTGGCCCTGCCCCCACCTACTGGCCCCTAGGGACCTGTAGAAACTAGACCCTCTTTCAGGAAAAAAAAAAAAGGCCAGAAACAGATTAAGGAGAGTGAGGCTGCTTTCCTCTGCCCCTTCCTCAACCACTGGCCCTTCCAGAGTCTCTCTTGGATCCCCTTTACTGCAAAACAAGAGCGATTGAGAAAAATCTCTGAGTAGACAACCCTCAAGGAGGGAGAGGCAGGCAAAAAGGCCTGGTGTGGAGCAGCCCACCACTAAGCTTGGTGTGTGTCTTGGAACAATCCCTTCGCCTCTCTGACGTCTCTTTTCCTACTTGCAAAATGGACTGCATCGACTCTGCTCATGGATGTGAAATGGTCCCGACTTCCAGAAAGCAGCTCCAACGGGCCTTTGGTACAACTTTTGAGAACCACAATGCACCAAGGAGAGTCTCTGTGACTCCACTACAACAGTAAAACCTGAAAATAACCCGGTGCTCAGGCAGGAAACTGGGAGGTTTTTGAAGTATTTGAAGATGAGCAACTCAGCATGTGTGATCAGGATGGAAATCCAATATTACAGCAAGACAGTGTTGCTGAACATGGACTACCTCTCCGTAGCCTCCTCCTGGATTAGGGCCTTGCTTGTCTTGATTTCATTCCAATTTAAAAAAAGAAAAACACCACAAAAACTTATTTTTAACCAAATACAAAACCTACCCAACCTCCCGCCCAGGTGCTGTTACAAAGGGCAAACTTAGAAAGTAACACCTAGGGCCAAGGGAGGAGGCTGATTTCATTGGCTGGGGCATCAGAGGTCAGAGCCCTTCCCAACGGGGTGAGGGAGACACCGTGCGGCTTCTTGTCCATCCCCCCACTGGTCTGTCCCATTTCTTCCCCAAAGAACTTCCCTCCTGCTCTTTGTTGAGGATGAGGATCCCAAATGTTTTCCTTATCTGGGGTTTGTGTTCTTCATCTATGAGATGGAGATGCATCTGAGCCTTCTCTACCATTCCTTCCAGCTCTTCATCTGAGCCTTCTCTACCATTCCTTCCAGCTCTTCTCCTTTGGGGAGTCACAGGCAGACCAGGGAGAAAACTTTGCATCCAACTCCCCACCCTGAGATCGGAGGGGGAAACCTTGCTGCAGCCGGGGGTTTACAGAGAGGTGCCCCTAAGGTTTGCATGGCGCAGCCCCAGGGGGCTCGACTTGCCCTCGTCCCCTTCAGAGTCGAGACCCCGGCTCTCGCTGAGATGGGAGAGAGGAACAGCTCAGACTCCTCACAAGCCAGGGCTGGCGTGGGGAGTGGCCAGCTGTGCCCACTGCTGCCCACTGCTTACCAGTGACCTTCCATAGACGCCAGACTGATAGGATCTGAGGTGAGTTCCAACAGGAAACAGGTGATCAGAGATGTGGATGTGAATGTCCAGGTTGTAGGGGCTCCTGATGCCGCTGGCTAGGATAGGGGCGGTGGCCGCCACACACCTCTAGTGGGCAGCTCAGAGAGAGGCAGGCCGAAAACTCTGGTGCCCAGACCAGAACATAGCCAAGGCCCTAGAGAAGGAAAGCAGTATACAGAATCCCATCTTTTGACTCCCAGTCAATGTTCCTTCCAAAAGGGGCTAAGCAATGACAAGATCCAAGGTGGAGATGAGGTTCAGTCTTGTACACAGGGCGGGGGGCGGCAGCAGCAGCGATGACGGCTACTGGTGAAGATCTCGGCCTCAGCTCCCAGAACAGCACTGCGGGAGAGCAGCTGCCCCTGGCTCAGCGGCGACCTAGGGCGGGCACCTCAGTTCCGCTGGCCCCAGCCACAGGCCTGGCCTGGCCTCTCCTTGGAGTCATGTCCTGTAGGTCCCAGGTCCTGTCCTGAGCATGGTTGAGTAGGCTGCGCTCCCAAAGTGGCTGGGCTGCAGGTGGTCTGCCAGGGTGATTTCCCACCCAGTCCTGATGCTGGGTGTAGATCTCCTGTCAAGCTCAGCCTCTGGTTCTAGAAGCTGCTTCCAGGGTGGAAATGGCAGCTCAGGTCCAGATAGATTGGATCAAGTTGACCTAGGGTTGACCTTGGGTATAGCTACTTGAGAATCCAGCACAGTTTTTCCTTTCTTGGTTAATTTCTAAAAAATAATCTTGGAGCCCTCTGACGGGGCTCTCACCCAGCAGGTTCAAAGCGCTGGTGTGCAAAGCACCATAAAAATTGTTAATTTAAAAAATTACAGTCGGGCACCGGTGGCTCACACCTGTAATCCTCACTACTCAGGAGGCTGAGATCTGAGGATCAAGGTTCAAAGCCAGCCCGGGCAGGAAAGTCTGTGAGACTCTTATCTCTGATAAAACACTAGAAAACCAGAAGTGGCGCTGTGGCTCAAGTGGTAGAGCACTCTCCTTGAGCTGAAGAGCTGAGGGACAGCACCCAAGCCCTGAGTTCAAGCCCCACGACCGACCAAAAAAAAAAATTACAAATGATTTTATGCTAAATCCTAATGAGGAACTGTCAGCTGGTTACTCACAGCTGCTACTTGCATCATTTTAAAAGCCGGGCAGCTCTGAGAGCAAGTATTAAAGAAATACAAGTTACAAATTAGGCATCCTCCCACCTGCTCTCTCTCTGATTAATTTTATCTTAATAGTGTGTTTCCCCCTGTGTAAAAGAAAAACCTCTTACTCTCAGTATCTGTATTAGTCTGCTTTGCATTACTATAACAAAATGCCTGAGGCTGGAAAACTTCATAAAGAAAAGAAATTTATTTAGCTCACAGTTCTGGTGGTTTGGTTCAAGAGCCCACACCTAGCGAGCGCCTTCCTGCTGGCAGAGTTCAGAGGGGGTACAGGACATCGAGCGGCAGGGAATCAGGGTGTGTTCACCGTGTCTCTTATAAGTCACCAGAGTTTGGTCTTGATCTTGTCTAATTCTAGTGACCTCCCAACGGTTCCACCTCCTGAATATATCCCAACATGGATTTGACATGATGAACATGTCAAATCTTGGGGAACACACTCAAATGATATTCAAAGGATATATCTGCCCATTCAAAAGCATGGGGGCAGCTGGGTGCTGGTGGCTCACGCCTGTAATCCCAGCGACTCAGGCGGCTGCGATCTGAAGACCGCAGTTCCAGTGCAGCCTGCACAAAGGCCAGAAATGCTGGTGTTTGTTGCTGAAGTGGTGAAACACCAGCCGTGAGCAAAAGAGCTGAACAAGAATGCAAGGCCCTGAGTTCAAACCCACTACCATCGCACACACGCACACGCAGCACGGGGCTCAAGGGCCAGCAAAGCTGGTCACACCAACAACTGGTCACTGGTGGGACCCTGTGGTGTCTAGTCCTTATTCTTCCACAGGGTTCAGCTGACAGATCCAGGCTCCCAGGCCCAGGAGCAGGGCAGAGCCCCCATGGCTACTGTTGCTCGGGGCCGGCTGTCTTGGTGGTCACCAGCTCCGTGGAGCCCAGCTCCGTGGCGGGCACGGGGACGCTGTGGCCAGCCGCGGGGACGTCGGGCTCTTCTCCAGGTGGAGGCCAGGCCGGGGCAGAGGCGGCCTGGCTTTCCTTGGTGGGGACGAGGGCATCCTCCAGGAGCTCTGGGTGGGCAGGGGGGGTACGGAGACATGAAGGGTGAGAACTGGGTCACCGCTTTCCCTGCCCCCTATTCTGGAAGCTTCCTCTGAAGGGCCAGCTGTCAGAGGCCGGAGCCCCACTGGGGTGGGGAGGGCCGGCACAGGACACGCCCAGAACAGGAAGTGTGGGGTCCGGAGCGGGAGGGGCGGTGCTGGCGGGGAGAGGGGCTCCAGGCCGGGGCTGAACCCCGAAGGCCAGGCCAAGCTGCCCCCTGCCATGTCTCCCTTTCTTCCCCAGCCCTGGGTCCCCAGTCTGGTCTCGAACCCCCAGCCCCCTGCACAACCCACTTCCCCCCTCTCTGTCTGTGTCACCCCCTTGCTCCCCGGATCACGGCCCCCCCGCCCTCTGCCCGGGCTCTTCCAGCCTCGTCCCGGGACTCACCGTCCGGGCCTCCGTCGGGGGCCTCCGCGGAGGCCGTCCTGCGCCGCCTCCGCCACTTCCAGCTCACCAGGGCCACGAGGGCGAGGGCCAGCGCCAGGCCCAGCAGCACCGGGGCGCCGAGGAGCAGCGCGGGCAGGGGCGGCGCCGCCTCGCGCCCGGGCCCCGCGCCCCCCGCGCCCCCCGCGCCCCGCGGCTGCAGCGCCGTCCCGGGCGCCGCGCTGCTCCCCGCCACCGCCGCGGGCCGAGGGGACGGCGAGGCGGGGCGGGACGGCCGCGGGTCTGCGGGAGGAGAGCCTGCGGGGGCGCGGGGGAGAGGGGCGGTGAGCGCCGCGCCCCGGCGGCGCCCCGCGCCCCGCGCCCCGCGCCCCGCCCGCTTACCGCGCCCCGGCTCGGCCGTGCGGAGCAGCCTGCACTCCACGCAGCGCCGCAGCAGCAGGTCGAAGCAGTGCGCGCGGGCGCAGGACGCGGGCATTGCCCCGTCCCGGCCCGGCCGGCCCCGCGCCGCGCGCCGCTCCCGGCCCATGCAGCCGCCGCGCAGCCGGCCCGGCCCCGCCGCCGCCCGGGGCACTCGGGGAGGAAGCCGCGCCCCGCCCCGGCCCGGCCCGGCCCCGCCGCCGCCCGGGGCCCGCGGGGTGGGGCTGCGCCCCGCACCTCCCCCTTCCACCTGCGGCTTCCCCGGGGCCGGGCACGCCACCCAGCCCACCGGGACGCCGACCCCGCGGCCTCCCCGCCCCCCGCCCCGCCAGCTGTGCAGGGCCCCGGGGACCCCGGCGACCCCCTGTGCGGGCTCGGGCTCCCCAGAGCGGGGCCCAGCCTGGCGATCTGAGTCGGTGGGTGTGGGGCCTGGCCTGGGCCGCGGAGTGGACGGACAGGGAGCCTCTCTTGGGGTGGGGGGGTGGGGGTGAGGGATGAGGGGGTGCAGGCAGGTGAAGCCAGGCCCAGGGGAGCGGGTCAGGGGGCTCCGGGAGTGCTGGGAACAGAGGCCCAGGCTTGGGAGCTGGCCTGGGCAGCCCGGGTCCCAGCACCACCTGGGAGCTGGAGAGGAATCCGAGGCTCCTGTCCCCTTCCTCGCCTGCGCCTCCCCTTTCTCGTGGAGTCCCCTGGAGGCTGTGGCACACAGGCCACCCCTTCCGGTATGTGGTGGGGGGCTGCAGTGCAGGAAGTTCGCAGCCCGCAGCAGGCTATACCTTGGGGTGGACCGTCCAGACTCCTAAACACTCGGGGTGGGGTGGTGGGCACCCAGAGGAAGGGCAGAGAAGCTTAGGGGGAGACAGATCTTGAGCAGCCACACGGTGGGGGCGGGGGCGGGGGATTGGCATAGGAAAGGCTGGGGGAGGTGAACTGCGTCCCCAGACTTGGAATCAGGCCTGGACAACCCCGCCGGGGAGAATGCTGGGAGAAGCCTAGGGGCTCCCAGGGTGCAGGGTGAGCCCTAGTGTGTCAGAGTATGGGGGGGGGTCTCTCTGAGCTCTTTGTGTCTCTGCTGGTCCCCGGGCTTGAACTCGGGGCCTGGGCACTGTCCCTGAGCTTTTTTTTTTTTTTGGTCCGGCCGTGGGGCCTGAACTCTGGGCCTGGGCGCTGTCCCTCAGCTCTTCAGCTCAAGGCTAGCGCTCTACCACTTGAGCCACAGCGCCACTTCCGGCTTTTTTCTTTTTGTTATGTGGTGCTGAGGAATCGAACCCAGGGCTTCAGGCATGCAAGGCAAGCGCTCTACCACTGAGCCACCTTCCCAGCCCTCCCTGAGCTTTTTTGTTTAACAGCTCCACTGTTTCGTTTTTTTGGTGGCTCATTGGAGAGAAGAGTCTCACGGGCATTCTGGCCCAGGCTGGCTTTGAACTGCCATCCTCCAATCTCAGTCTTCTGAGTAGTTGGGACTACAGTGAGCTACTGACATCTAGCTGTTTTATTTAGAGGGGCCCCTTCCCTGGCTGCTGTGAGCCAGAGACTGGAAGGAGCAGAATGGAAGCTAGAGCCCTGGACTAGAACAGAGCCATGATGAAGCGGCCCACCAGGGAGTGAAGGGAACAAGCCTGCCCCTGCTTTACCTCAGGAGACCCTAAGGACTCCTGCAGGCCCTGGCTCTGCCTATGGGCCCGTGAGTACACAGGAAGGTGTAGGCGGCAGCGCAGCTGTCAAAGGAGAAGTGGGTTGGGGAGGTGGGTCTGGGTGAATGTGGGCATATGGTGGGGTGGAGGGGAGCCTGGGGTAGAGCCCCCAGAGGCCATGTTTTTGTTTTGTTTTTTAACCAAATAGGGATGGGGACAAGGGCAAATGGCCACACCCTCTCCCCACACCCACTTCCAGCATTATTGGTAGTTGATTCTCTGCTTCTGTTAGGGTCCCAGAGCTCTGCACACCAAGCATCTTGCTTAGTGCCAGACATTAGGGGCTGGAGCAGACTGAAAGCGCCTGTCCTGAGGCCCATTGGGGCTGGGGCTGAGAACTCAGGACCCCTCGGGAGCCTCCATGGCCCAGCTTTTGGTGCTCTGCCTCCTTCGAAGACTGGGAGCTCTCCCCCCACCACCCCTCCAGGCCCCAAGAGAGAAGGCAAGAGCTATGAGTCACCGACAGAATTACAGCATCCGTCACCTTGGAGAGAGGGGGAGGCCGGCCACTGGGGGACCGTCATGGAATTACTCATATAATACAAGTGTTTGTGTGTTTTCCATGGCCCCAACAGAGCCAGGTGTCCAGGGCTAAGTGAGGAACGGCAGAGATCCTGTGGGATTCATGTCTGGGGTGGGGGCAGATGTCTGGCCTCAGCCATGCCTTCCGCTTGGGCCCCCAAAGTGGGGTGGGGATTGTGGTAGACCTTAAATTCTGCTTGGATGACTTGGTGGTTAAGAGAAATTTCACCAGTGTGGGAAACCTTCAGTTGCACTTTGATATATTCTTTCTTCATTACTCTTAAATCAAGTTTATAAAGTTGGGAGGGGGGGGGACAGTACTGAGGCTTGAACTCAGGGCCTGGGCAAGGTCCCTTTGCTTTTCACCCAAGGCTAGCTGGCATTCTACTCCTTGAGTCAGAGCTCCACTTACTCCTGTCTTTTTGGTGGTAATTGGAGATGAGTCTCCTAGCCCGGTGCTGGTGTCTCCAGCCTGTAATCCTTATTCAGGAGGCTGAGCTCTAAGGATTGTAGTTCAAAGCCAGCCTGCAGGAAAGTCAAAAAGAAGCCAGTGTAGAGTGCTAGCCTTGAGCTAAAAAGCTCAGGGACAACAGCCAGACCCTGAGTTCAAGCATGAGGACTGGCACAAAAGAGAAAGAAAAAAGGTCTCCCAGACTTCCCTGCCTCTGAACTGAGATCCTCAGATCTCAGCTCTCTGCGGAGCTAGAATGACAGGGTGAGCCTGGCTGAATAGTTTAAAAACAAAAGCTAACTTGTGATCTGTTGGGGGGGGAGGAATTTTGTCTTTTGGGGGGGCCAAAAAACACCCTGGGATAAGCAAACAGGTATAGAGGGGGGCCCAGAATGACGAGCAGATGGATGGGGCCCAGACTGTGAAGTGTGGCTGTATGCACGCCCTGGGGACAGGATAGGGAAGTGAGGCCACTTCTCTGGGACAAGCCCAGTGTCCTGTGGGGGGGAGAGAGTCCCTGGGGGACAGAGGCCCAGCCCCCTCCCCGCATCTGGATATGACACTTCTGTGAGCACGGTGATGCCCCGGACTACACAATTAGTTTGAGTGTAATGTTGCCAGTCATAGCTGAAGCCATTCTCATGACAAAGCCCTCCGATGTGATGGAATTGTGAGTAAGGGGACTTTCCTGGGGTCCCCAGATGTGGCCTCGGCTGGCACTCGGAAACCCCTCATTCTGGGTTGTGTGTTTACAGGGACAGGTTTGCTGTCATGTGGTCACCCTGCGTGGACAGCTCCACTGGCCGCCTTTCTCCTTTGAGCGTGCCAGTGCTGGGGTGTGGGGTTCATGCCAGCACCTTCGGCTGCGCCCTGTAAGTGGCGGCATGGATTGGCTTCATGGAGATGCCCTTCAGCCCACTCAGGTGTTTGCTTAGCTGACACACAAGGAAGCTTCTAGAAAGCTCCCCTTGGGCCATTCTCACCCTAGAGATGACCTACTTGCAATCTATTCAGTGTGTTTTCCTAAATATATTTTTCTATCACTTTTTTTCTTCTTCTTCTGGTACTAGGGTGTGAACTCAGGGCCTGGCTGTTGTCCCTTAGCTTGTATGTTCAAGGTTGGTGCTCTGCCACCTGAGCCACAGCTCCACTTCCAGCTTTTGGCTGGTTAGATGGAGATAAGTCTCATGGATTTTCCTGCCCAGGGCTGGCTTCCAACCCTGATCCTCCGATCTCAGCCTCCTGAGTAGCTAGGATGACAGGCGTGAGCCACCTGAGCCTGGCTTCCTACTACTTCCAACACAGACAGACAGACAAGCGCACAGGCACACACTCACTAGTCAGGGATGGCAGGAAGGACACAGTAGGAGTGGCCAGTGCTGAGCCCCTGGACATGGCCTGCTGGCAGCGCTGAGGCTGAGCCAGGAACGTCTCACCTCCCTTCCCCCTGAACTTGAGCCAGGTAAGGCAGCTCATGACTTCCATGCCCCTGCCCGGGTCTCCGCTAGCCTGGGCGGCTCGTTCCCGCTCTCCTGCTCCGCACACGAACACACAAGCGCACGCTGAGACACATGACCAGGCTCCTGGCCAGCAGCTCTCACCCCCTCAGCACAGCCCTGCAGAGGGACACAGTGGCCCTCTGGGAGGTTAGACGGGACACCACAGAGGCTCAGCCACAGGAACTGGAGTTCCCCATCCCCCCAGGCACCAGCCTGCAGGTTGGGGGTCCCATGCATAGATGGGAGGCAAGGAGCAAGGGGCTGCTTCCTGGCTTCCTTCTGGACCCCACAAGGACAAGGAACACTGGGCTCTGGGCCTGCTGGGCCTGTGAGGTCGTCCCTGTGAGATGTGCAGATACCTCACCATCCACCATTAGTGGATGCTAACTGAGCACCTACTATGCACCATCAGGGACCACCACACAGCAGAAGTCCATGTAGCAGATGAGGAATGAGAAACGCCTGGGAGGAAAAGTTCAGCAGGAGGCGTCAGAAAAATAAGGTCTACATTTTATTTGTTAAATTAATTTTAGCAAGGGTTTTTTTAGTATGACAGGGTTAAAGTAGAAAGAAATGGAATGAAACATGTCCTGCTACTCACACAGGAGGTAAGAGTTCAACTCCCAACCAGGAGCACCCGCTTAGATAGGGAAATCAGGCAGGACCTGGGTGACCTGGAAGGGAGGGGGCAGAGCTTAGCAATCCTGAGGAAGGGGGAGGGCAGAGGGAGGGCACAGCCACCCTGCCCACCAGCCTGCAGAAGCGGCGCTGTGAACCTGAGCCGGTAGACAGGGACAGCCCCCGAGCTCTGCCACAGTGCCCACATCTGCAGATGGCACAGGGGTAGGAGTTGTGGGGTGGGCCCAGTTGTGGGGAGCTTGTGTTCCTTCCGAGAGAGGCTGGAATTTGAGAACTGGAGAACCCCAGTGGCCCCGGTGGGTGGTTATAGCCCCCCTTCTATACCTCCTGACCACCTCTGGAATTTCCACTAAAGCAAGAGGGCGGGGCCCTGGCCAGCATCCCCTCCCTTCTTCCTGGAGTTGGTCAGCCAGAAGGGGACCTTTGCCGGAGGTCCCTGGAGGGGGATCCCTGCTATCAGGCCTGGCCCAGCACCCCTTTGTGTATGGGGGTGGCAGGGCCCAAGGTTCACCTTGCCTTTCCTAACTCTAATACAACCGAACAGCCATGCAAGCCACCGCCTGGGTAGAGACCTGCAGGCACAGGCTGAGGAAGCCTGCCATGTGCCACAGAACCTGGCGAGTCCCTGGGGAAGGCCTCGCAGGCTTCCTGTGTCAGGAGGAACCAGCCTCTGCCAATGGGGGCGGGGAGGGGGCTCAAGGGTTCATAGTGCAGCGCCCCTTCCTTGCTGTCAGCCATGTCCGCCGGGACATGAAAAACCACCAGAGTCAGGTGCCGGTGGCTGGCGCCTGTCAGTAATCCCAGCTCCTCAGGAGACAGACCTGAGGATCGAAGTTCAAAGCCAGCTCCAGGCGTGAAACCTTGATATTGCTGGGTACTGGTGGCTCACGCCTATAATCCTAGATACTCAGGAGGCTGAGATCTGAGGATCAAGGTTTAAAGTCAGCCAGGGCAGGAAAGTCTATGAGACTCTTATCTCTAATAAACCACCAGAAAACCAGAAGTGGCGCTGTGGCTCAAGTGGCAGAGCACTGGCCTTGAGCTGAAGAGCTGAGGGACAGCGCCCAGGCCCAGAGTTCAAGCCCCATGACCAACAAAAAAACCCCAAAACTTGAGGAGACATTTATCTCCAATTAGCCACCAAAAAGCCAGAAGTGGAGCTGTGTGGCTTGAGTGGTAGAGCGCCAACCCTGAGTGAAAAAGCTAAGGGACAGTGCCCAGAACCTGAGTTTAAGTCCCAGTACTGGTACACATACACATACTACGCACACAGTACCAAACTGGGGCCAGAACTGGTACACACACACACACACACACAGTACCAACTGGTATATACACACAGACACACACACACACAGAGTACCAAACTGGGGCCAGAACTGGTACACACACACACACACACACACACACACACACACACACACACACACACACACACAGTACCAACTGGTATATACACACAGACACACACAGAGTACCAAACTGGGGCCAGAACCCTTGAGCCTGGGTTGCTTCTGGAAGCGAATTCCAGCTCCCTGGGCTCAGCCCCAGGGCTGTCCGAATCCAGGGGGCCTGAGGGAGACAAATGAAGCTGTGACATGGGGCAGGCCCCGCCCCCCTGAGCTCTGGGTGCTTCATCTAAGCAACTTCAGGCCCAGTTGGTATCTTCAGCTGACCCTCTGGTCACCACTCAGACCTGTGGTCTCCAAGTCCTCCACTTCCAAAATCTGCCTCCACTTAGCTGACCCCACCCTGCAATGGAGGGACAGGCTGAGCATGAGATGACCCGCCAGGGGCCATGCCACCAGAGTGCAGCCCCTCCCCCCAGCCAGGCTCATGGGGCAGCGCTGGTCCCCCTGGGCACTACCTCGGGCCTCCAGACTGATGCACGGCCTGTCCCGAGCCTCCCGGGGACAGCAGGTCTGAGGGCACCTGATGCCGGTGGCTCCGTGGGGCGGCGCGGGGCAGGCAGCCTCTCCACGCCAGGGCTCCTGCCAAGCCTGACAGGGAGCTGGCAGGGAGCTGGCAGCAATGGCAGCCCCGAGTTCCCCCAGCACTTGGAAGGCTCCCAGGACCTCGCTGGAGATTGTGATGCCACTTCTCTTGTTAAATGGCACCAGGTGGCAAGGAAAATGTGGCCCAGGGACCTCAGGGAGAGGCGGGCCCCATGCTGGCTGGGGCAGGGCAGGGAGGTGAAAGGTGCAGCAGCCCAGGCCTGCTCTGCCAGCCTCCAGGCCCCCCTTTACGGCCCAGGATAGACAGGTGGGACAGGATAGCTCCCACAGGCCTGCACCCTCAGACAAGGCTGGCTTTCTGGGCCTGTCCCTTTAAGCCTGTCCCTTTAAGGACAAGCAATCCTTCACCTCTGGCTCCCAGCTTATTCCTTTGACTCCCCCCCTCCCCCCCCCCCCCCCCCCCCCCCCCCCGCCCATGCCCTGGGGTGTCCCTGAAGCTGGCCAAAGTCCAGTCAAGCCCTCACTGTACAGTGCAGGGGTGTGGGGAGGGGGGGCTGGGCTTTCCCTCTGCCTTTCTCCTTAGGGTTAACAGGGCTCTAGAACCTCCTAAGGCAGGGACTGCAGCAAGAGGGAGCAAGGTCCTTAAGGAACAGCCCGGCCTGCCAGCCGCGGCAGCTCACCTCTGTAATCCCAGCTACTCAGGAGGCTGAGATCTGAGGATCACGGTTCTAAGCCAGCCTGGGCAGGAAAGTCTGTGAGTTTCCTATCTCCAATGAACCACCAGAAAACCAGATGGGGAGCTGTGGCTCCAAGTGGTAACATGCTAGCCTTGAGCAAAAGACCTCAAGGACAGCATCTAGACCCTGAGTTCAAGCCCCATGACCAAAAAACAAAAGACAAAACTGTGAGACTAATATTTAATTAACCATCAAAAGAGTCAGAGGTGGAAGCGCCAGCCTTGAGCAAAAAAGCTCAGGGAGAGCAGACAAGGGCGAGCCCTGAGGCTGCTTCTCTCAGGAGCAAGGCCTGTGTCCTTCCACGCCTCTCAGTCCTCCCAGGGAGAAAGCCAAACCTTTGTTGGACCACCAGACATAGGGAAATGTGGCGGGTGTGGGGTGGGGACAGGACTCTGCTGCCTGTCAGCTCTGTGACTGCACGAACAGGAGTCTCAGTGTCATGAACTCTGACCTGGGGGCTCAGCAGCCTCCCCTGTCTGAGGAACACTGTGACGGGGCTCGGCGAAGCGTGACAAGCCCTGCACTGTGGGGTGACACAAGACTTGCTGGGCCTCAGCTGTCTTGAAGCCAGCCAGGTGTGTCGAACCCTTGCTGGATACTGGGGTGGGGCGCTGGTGGCTCAAGTCTGTACTCCTAGCTATTCAGGAGAGCTAAGGATCAAGGTTCAAAGCCAGCTGGAGCACAGGAAAGTCCATGAAACTCCACGATCCATCAGAAAACTGGAAGTGGAGCTGAGGCTCAAGCCTGCCTGTTCCCAGGGACAGCAGCCGGGCCCCAGGGGCAGGGAGGGGTCAGGGCCTGGCCGCTCCCAGGGCCTCTGACTAGCTGGGGCTCTCAGAGGCAATAGTGGGAACCCAGAAGAACAGGGGCCAGGATGTGGGGTTCTGCTGGATCCTGGAGTTCAAGCTCCCCTCCCCACACCCTCTGTTCTGAGTCAGTTTTTTCATCTGTGAAGCAGAAGCGCTGGATGACCCAGTGATTTTCAAACTTTTTTTTTTTTAAAGCCGTGGACCTTTAGTCTTCAGGAGCTGGGAAGTGGAGATACACCACGATGGAAGTGGAGATATACACCAGAAGGAAGTGAAGATACACCGCGATGGAAGTCGAGATGTACCATGACTTCGAATGATGCAGGACTCACTGGTGTGAGCCTGGGAGTGGGAGGGTGCTGGCCTGCCGAGCCCTGATTGGTCCTCACCGCCGCCTGTCATTTGAGACTCACAGCTCCTCCAGGGAAGGGCTCTCAGAGCTCCTGAGCAGGGACAGCAGGTTCAGGGCTGACACGCCGGGCACGTGACCGGCACAGATCTGTAGCATGCGCACTAGGCGCTGTGCCATGGAGGCCCGGAAACTTTCCACCTGCAGGGAAAGGCAGAGATGGGTCAGGGAACCGTTTGGGATGACCTCAGAAGCAACCTGCCCGCTTGGGAGCTCTCTCTAGCCGGGGTGCCATCCCCAGGTGGCCTCAAGCTGGTTCTGTGGCTTTTGCCCCCAGTTTCCGGGGCCACCCGTGTTCCCTCTCAGGACCTTTCCTAGAGTCTCAGTCCCACAGACAGGTAAGGACACCTGAATTTGTATTCTTGTCTGTGCAAGTGTGGGGCTTGAATTTAGGAACTGGGCGCTATCTCCAGCCTTTTCACATTCTACCCCTTGAGCCATAGCCCCACTTCTGATTTCTTAATGGAGAGCAGAGTCTCATAAGACAGGTGCTGGTAATCCCGGTTACTCAGGAGGCTGAGATTTGAGGATCATGGTTCAAAGCCAGCCCAGGCAGGAAAGTCCGTAAGACACTTATCTCCAAAAAGCCAGAGTGGAACTGTAGCCCAAGCCATAGAGCACTAGCCTTGAACACAAAAGCTCAGGGCCAGTGCCCAGGTGTTGAGTTGAAGCCCCATGCCCAGGGTTAAAAAAGTCTCACAGACTTTTCTTGCTCTGGCTATCTTTGAACCTTGATCCACAAGTCTCAGCCTCTTGAGCAGTTTAGGATTACAAGCATGATCTTGGCACCTCGTCTTGATCCTTTAGATTCTGAGAAGGCACGGCCACCTGTCTAGTCATGGTGGAGCACCTGTCTAGTAATAGCAAAGCCCTGAGTTCAAACCCCAGCATCACCAGCAGCAAAGCTGGGGGTTTCATTTGCAGAGCACAGGTCGAGGCTCTGAGGGCTCCTGCTGCTGGCTGGAAGCAGCCACAAGCAATTAATGTCTAGAGACAGGAGTTCCCAGGCTTCAGGATGACCCGTGAGTTGGTGCAGCCTGCCACTCCATGGTCACAGATGGAACTGCACCATCTGTCACATGGTTAGAAGGCACCAAGGCCAGCAGCCCACACACTCTACCCCAACTAGATAAAAGTAGCCTAGTGCGGGTGGCTCACGTCTGTAATCCTAACTATTCAGGAGGCTGAGATCTGAGGATCGCAGTTCAAAGCCAGCCAAGGCAGGAAATCCCATCACACTCTTTTTCTTCTTCGTTTCTTTTTTTACTTTTTGGTTTTTTTTTGTCATTTGTAGGGTTTGAACTCAGGGCCCGAGAGCTGTCCCTCAGCATTTTTGCTCAAGGCTATATGCTCTAACTATGAGCCACAGCTCCACTTCCAGTTTCTTGTTAGCTGTGATCCTCAGATCTCAGCTTCCCGAGTAGCTAGGATTACAGGCGTGAGCTACTAGTGCCCAGCCCAAGACACTTAATTTCCAATTAACTCCCAAAAAGCCAGAAGTAGAGGTGTGGCTCAAGTGGTAAGCACCAGCTATGAGGGAACATGAGAGTGCAAGGCCCTGAATTCAAGCTTCAGGTACTGACACACATGTGCGTGCGTGAGCACACACACACACACACACACACACACACAAATGTAACAAATAACAGAGACTGACATATATCCCTTCTTTATACCTGTGTACCCCAAGGTGAACCCTGAAGGATCAGGATTCAAACCAGAGTCTTATGATGTCTTCTCCACATTAGGAGTCTCTCGTCTGGGTGTTCAGTGACCCGGAACTAGATACTCCTGCCTTACCCACCATGCGCTGACAGCCCCTGCCCCGCACCCGAGTGCAGAGTTGGCCGTGGTGAGCCACATCCTCACCTCCAGGTCACAGAAGAGCAGGGGGCTGCGGTAGGTGTGGGCCAGCTTCACGACCATGCTCTGGTGTACGCTGCAGTGGCTTTCCCGCCCAGCTGCAAAGAAGCCAGACACGCGACAGTGCATCCCGGACACCCTGGCCACGTACTCTCCACCCCACCGTGCCCGACCTCAGTTTCTCACTCATCAGTAGGTGACAATTCTGTTATATCTTCTTTGCTGGGCAGTCAAGACCATCTCATTAGACAATAAGACCAAGAGTGCTAAGAGTGAGCTCTGAGCCAGATGGCATGGCTCACGTCTACAATCCTAGCTACTCAGGAGATGGGATCTAAGGACTGTGGTTCAAAGCTAGCCCTAACAGGAAAGTCTATGAGACTCTAAGGTTTCCAATTAGCCAGCAAAAAGCAGGAAGTGGAGGTGTGGCTTAAGTGGCAGAGCACTAGCTTTGAGCAAAAAAGCTCAGAGATAGTACACAGGCCCTAACTTCAAGCCCAAGGAAAGACTAACAATAGAAAAATAATATTTGGGAGCCTGGTACCAGTGGCTTACAACCTGTCATCCTAGCTACTCAGGAGGCTGAGATCTGAGGATTGCAGTTCAAAGCCAGCCTGAGCAGGAGAGTCCATAAGACTTTTATCTCCAATTAACCACCAGACAACCACAGTGGTGCTGTGGCTCAAGTGGTAGAGCACTAGCCTTGAGCTGAAGAGCTCAGGTATAGCGTCCAGGCCCAGAGTTCAAGCCTCACGATCAACAACAACAAAAGTATTTGGTACAGGTTAGCTATTACTATTAAACACAAAGTCTCAGGAACAACAGGACATCTCAACTGACCCAAAGTTTGACAGTAATAGGAGCTGACACTAGAAGATAGAAGCAAGATTTTTTTTTTTTTTTTGACAATATCTTACTACGTACCGCAAACTGCCCTGGATCTGGCAATTCCCCAAGTACTGGGATTATAGGGATGTGCTACCACACTCTGCTTAGTCCACAGTTTTTTTTTTTCTTTTTTGTCAGTCATGGGGCTTGAATTCTGGGCCTGGGCGCTGTCCCTCAGCTCTTCAGCTCAAGGCTAGCACTCTACCACTTGAGCCACAGCGCCACTTCCAGTTTTCTGGTGGTTTATTGGAGATAAGAGTCTCACAGGCTTTCCTGCCTGGGCTGGCTTTGAACCCTGATCCTCAGATCTCAGTCTCCTGAGTAGCTAGGATGACAGGTGTGAGCCACTGGCGCCCGGCTCTTAGTCCACATCTTGACAATACTTTGGGCTTTACTATAAAAGCCACAAGACAACAGGCATCTCAGCATTGGCGGGAGTGTCTGCTCAGCTTTGCTGTTAGACTGCGCTACTGCACTGCTGCTCATCTTCAGGACAGAGATGGGAGTTGGGGGACCCAGGCGGGGACACACTTACCACCTGTGGCGAGGAAACAGAGCTTGCCCAGGAAGAATCTGGAGTCCACGTGGCACAGAGATTCCTCCACGTTCTGGAAGCTGGGTGGCCACAGGGCAAGGTGAGGAAATAAACCAGAGGACAGTTTCACAATGTAGTTTTTTTTTTTTTTTTTTTTTTTTGGATCCGGTCGTGGGCCTGAACTCTGGGCCTGAGCGCTGTCCCTCAGCTCTTCAGCTCAAAGCTAGCGCTCTACCACTTGAGCCACAGCACCACTTCTGGCTTTTTTCTTTTTGCGTATGTGGTGCTGAGGAATCGAACCCAGGGCCTTAGGCATGCAAGGCAAGTGCTCTGCCACTGAGCCAACTTCCCAGCCCCACAATGTAGTTTTAAAAACACTTTTTTCTTGGCTGTGGGCCGTGAACCTAGGGCCTGGATGCTAACCCTGGACTTTTCACTCCAAGCTGGCACTCTACCACTGGCAGTTTTCCTGAGTAGTTTATTGGAGATAAGCGTCTCAATGGATTTCCCGGCCAGGCTGGCTTCAAATTGTAATCCTCAGATCTCAGCCTCCTGAATAACTAGGATGACAGGTGTGAGCCCTGAGCACCCAGCTTTTACTTTATTCTAAACTATAATTCTTTTTATTCATTTGGTGCTTGAATGGGGGACTGAACTCAGGGCCTTATATTCCTGCTTAGCTTTTCACTCATGACTGGCTCTGCCATTTGAGTTACATCCCAGTCCAGCATTTTGCTGGTTAACTGTAGGCAAGAGTCTCTTATAGATGGGCACTGGTTGGTGTCTTGTAAACATTATTCACTGGCCACCAGCTCCTCCCTCCTCATCCTCTAGGCTCATCCCAGAAAGCCTCTCACCACCCCCTCCCTTCCCACAAGTGAGGCCCCAGCCCTCGTACTCCCAGCCAGGCCAGCCAGGGCCCTGGCAGCCCCGAACTCTGGTTCTCACCTGTATTTGCTGTGAAGGTTAATCACAAAGACAATCAGGTCAATTCGGGGCCGACTCCCATTGGAGGGCAGCGGGAGGGACTTTGCCAAGTGGCTTAAGGAAAAAAAAAATTCCAGGTTACAGACTCACCTCACAATGGCCATTTCCCATGTTGTTGGGCACCAGTGGCTCACACCAGTAATACTACCTACTCAGGAGGTTGAGAGCTGAGGATTCAGGTTCAAAAGCAGCCGGGGCAGAAAAGTCTGTGGGACTCTAACTCCAATAGCCACCAAAAAAAAATCAGAATTGTGGCTCAAGCGGTAGAGCATCAGCTTTGGGTGGAAAAGCCAATCAAGAACAAGAAGCCCTGAGTTCAAGCCCCAGTACTGTCACCAAAAGAAAAAAAGAAAAAAAATATTCTTTTCCATTTCCAAACTATGGGTTTGAGGTCACTGGTTACTGTTTGATATTTAGTCTGAAAGCCTGCCAACATGGATGCAGACAGCTAGCTCTATGAACTATCTCTATTCAACGAGGATCACAATTTGAAATCAGCTGGGTCAGGAATCAGTCTGTGAAACATTTTTTTTTTTTTGGTACGTCGTGGGGCTTGAACTCAGGGCTTGGGCGCTGTCCCTGTGCTCTTCAGCTCAAGGTGAGTGCTCTACCGTTTAAGCCACAGCACCACTTCTGGTTTTCTAGTGGTTTATTAGAGGTAAGAGTCTCAGAGACTTTCCTGCCCAGGCTGGCTTTGAACCGCGATCCTCAGATCTCAGCCTCCTGAGTAGCTAGGATTACAGGCGTGTGCCACTGGCGCTCAGCTTGTGAGACTCTTATCTCCAGTTAACCACCAGAAAACCAGAAGCGGGGCTGTGGCTCAGTGGTAGAGAGTTAGCCTTGAGCAAAAGAGCTCAGGGACAGGGCTGGGAAGGTGGCTCAGTGGTAGAGCACTTGCCTTGCATGCATGAGGCCCTGGGTTTGATTCCTCAGCACCACATAAACAGGAAAAGAAAGCCGGAAATGGCGCTGTGGCTCAAGTGGTAGAGCGCTAGCCTTGAGCTGAAGAGCTGAGGGACAGCGCCCAGGCCGAGTTCAGGCCCACCACCAGACCAAAAAAAAAAGAAGAGCTCAGGGCACCTGGACCTACCCTCCCACCTCGCTACCAAAAAAAAAAGGGGGGGGAGGAGCTTACTCTATTTTGTAGAGGCCACTGTCACTCTCACAGAGGAAATACCTCTGGACTTAGGAAGTTCCCTTCAAAATCCACCTCTGGGCTGGGAAGGCAGCTCAGTGGTAGAGTGCTTGCCTTGAGCAAAGATCGGAGGGACAGCGCCCAGACCCTGAGTTCAAGTCCCAGGACTGGCAAAAAAAAAAAAAAAAAAACTACCTCTGAGCCTATCTTTCCATCAGGGAGAATGATACACATTTTTAGTCACCTGACTAGAACATCAGCAGTTCGTCAGGTTTTGGAGGAAGAAAGATTTGCAGAGACATTTCCAGCATCCTCTCCTGGGTGATGTCCCTTGGCTTTTTCCGCTAAAGGCTAGTGCTCTACCACTTGAGTCACAGCTCCACCTCCGTGGGGGGTTGGGGGCTGGATAACTGGAGTTGAGTCCCACAGCCTTTCCTGCCAGGGCTTTGAAACACGATCCTCAGATCTGCGAGTCCTGAGCAGCTAGGATTGCAGGTGCGAGCCACCGGCGCCGAGCTCACAGGTGACACCGAGCTCACAGGTGACTTACTAAGCGCTAGGAGGAAAACAAATGACAGGAGGGTGTCATGGTCTACGGTTCCTTGGTGTAGGTTTCTGGGGGCTGGGCGGGATTGGCGGGCAGACCCCCCCCCTCCCGCCGGCTCCCTTCCCCCTCCTTCCCGCCAAGGCCTCGGCTACTCACACCTGCGGCTACTTACACCTGCAACTCGGACGCGCAGTCCTCCTGGAGCATCGCGTCGGCCAGCTGCTGCAGAAGTGCGTCCTCGGTGCCCACCAGCTGCCCGGGGGAGGGGAGGGAGCGTCCGGCTGAGACCCGGGCAGGACAGATCCTCGGGGCACGCGCAGCCTCCCTCCCCTCCCCCGGAGGGATCGGGCCGACCGCAGCGGGAAGGGCGCCGTTCCCCGAGGACAGAGACTGAGCCCGGGGCCCGCTGCGGGCCAGGCCGGGCACTCACCCACTCCGCCAGGCGGGAAAACACGGCCCAGCGGGACCCCCCCCCCCACCCAGCCAATCATAAGCTGGTACCGAGCCAGCCTCGCACTCTGATTGGCTCCGAGAGCGGCTGTCCCGCCCACCGCAAACCCGGCTCCACAGCGCCGCACTTAAGGAAGCTCCCAGATCGCGGGTCGAGGCGCAGCCAGAGGAGGAAGGCTGGTCGCGGATGCGGGGACACCGGCACCTACCAAGATGGTGGCTTTGTTCAGGCCGGGCAGTTTGTCCATCGGCATCAACACCGACATCCCAGCCGCAGGCCCAACCGTGGCTCTCGCAGTACGCGCCGCACAGTCAAACGGCCTGGAGTCCCGCCCAGCGGACGGGGGCGGGGCACGCTGCTCTGTGGGCGGGGCTTCCCCGGAGGGCCGGGACTCTTAAAGGAACCGCTAACTTTTTATTTTTAAATTTGTGGGAGGGGAAGCAGACTCTTTGGGGACTGTAGACCTGCATGCCAGCTCCTTATCTGCTATATTGTGTGTGTGGAGCGGGGTCGTGGGGCTTGAACCCTGGGCCTGGGCGCTGTCCCTCAGCTCTTCAGCTCAAGGCAAGCGCTCTGCCACTTGAGCCATAGCTTTCCATTTTCTGGTGGTTTATTGGAGATAAGAGTCTCATGGACTTTCCTGCCTGGGCTGGCTTTGAACCGTGATCCTCAGATCTCAGCCTCCTGAGTAGCTAGGATTACAGGCGTGAGCCACGGGCATTTATCTTCTATATTAAGGGGATATTCTAGCACTGACCTCAGGCACATAAGATGTTGGGCAGAAGCTGGGCACTGGTGGCTCACGCCTGTGAGCCTGGGCTGGCTTTGAACCCTGATCCTCAAATCTCACCAACACCCACCCCCCCAAAAAAAAAGATGGGCCGAGCTTTTGTCATGTGTCTCACTTTTTCTGTGATTCATTCATTCCCTTTTATTCATTCATACTCATTCACCTTACTCTAGATCCACCCCATCAGCTAACTCCAGACTTACAACTGCTGACAAGAAAAGCTTGGGGTCATTCTGGACTGTTCTTTATACTGTACATCAAGTCTGCAAGCAAAACCTGTGCGTTCTAACAACATATCCAAGAAGCTGGCCACCTCCACACCTCTTCCTCTGTCAGGACCAGAACTAGATGGATGGAATCTGTAACCTGGCTGCCAGCTTCCATCCAGTTCCCCAGGGCTGCCCCTAGTCCTCACACAGCGTCAGAATGAGAGCAGACCGCTTCTCCATCAAACCTACCTCGCACCCCTTCCTCCTTGAGTTCGCTGAAAGGCCTGGCACCACCTCAGAGGCTGCGTGTCCCTGACATTGTCCCTGACAATCGCTCTGAGCGCATCTGCTCTTCGTCCTGCCCGCCAGCCACTAGCTTGTCCCTCAGACGTTCCAGCTGTCCTCCTGCCGTTGAACCCTCTGCCCTGCCGTTCTCGCTGCATGAAAAGCTCCTCTCCAAAGTCAATAGCTTGTTCTCTCATTTCATTCATGTTTCTGAATCATAAGGTGACTCAGTCACCTTATCAGAAACCTTACCTAAAATAACCACCACCTCTGGACTCTATTCTTCTTTTCTGTATCTACTCTTTGTCCATAATGCTGGTCTCCAATTCACAAGGCATGATCAAGAACTGCTACCAGTCGCCGGTGGCTCAGAGCTGTCATCCTAGCTACTCAGGAGAGTGAGATCTGAGGATCATGGTTCAAAGCCAGCCCAGGCAGAAAAGTCTAGAAGACCCTTTTTTTCTTTTTCCCAGTCCTGGGGCTTAAACTCGGGGTCTTAGTACTGTCCCTGAGCTTCATTTGCTCAAGGCTAGCACTCTACTACTTGAGCCATAGCACCACTTCTGCCTTTTTCTTGTATGTGGTACTGAGGAATCGAACCCAGGGCTTTATGCATGCTAAGCAAGCACTCTACCACCAGGCCACATTCCCAGCCCCTTCTAAGAGACTCTGATCTCGATTAACCAACAAAAGCCCAGAAGTGGAGATGTGGCTCAAGTGGTAGAGCCCTAACCTTGAGCGAAAAAACTACAGGTTATCACAGAGGCCCAGAGTTCAAGGCCTAGAACCTGCACAAATGAACAAGTTCCGCTGAGCCCATGTGTCCTGTCTGTCTCAGCCCTGGATCTTTTCTCTAACATGAAACCCTCACTGGCTCTGCTTCTGTGGTCCTCACTCACTCACCAGACACCCCAACTTCCCCCTACTCTCAAACCCTTCCAGTTCTGTCAGCAGCTTTGGGACCCACCAGCCTGCTGAGTGACTCTCATTGCTCCCCATTCCCCAATCCTGCCCTCCCCGTCATCCCCGGTACCGCATGCAGAGAGAGAACCAGAAAAAGGAGGCTGGTTGCTAGGGCAACAGAGAATAAAGCCCTGGCACTAGCAGGCTGCTGATTGGCTGAGACAGGTCCTGCCTCCTGTCATCCTGAGAATGGGGGGTGGGGGGGGTGGAAGAAGGGGTCTCCCATGGACAGAGAAACATTCCAGATTCCTGAGCCAGCCCAGGACTGCCCCCCCCCAGCCCACTCTGAGCCCCTGGGCCTGAGAAGCTGTGTCTCCTGTGGGAGCCGTTGACCTAATCCTATCTCAGCCTCCAACACCCAGAGCGGCCACAGATGGCAGCGTCTCTGGGGACTGCAGCTGCGACTGAGTCCTGGGGCCAACGCTGAGCTGCTCAGGCACGGTCTGTGCAAAGCCCCGAGCGAGCGGGCATCTGCAGGGCGTGAGGTGGGTGTACGGGCGTGCAAGGGGGCAGCGAATGGCAGCGGTGGCTTGGGAGGCAGCAAGAGGGCTCTGCCCCCTCACACTGTCCCTGCTAGGACCTTGTCTGAAATGGGCCTGGAAAATTCCTGCGAGATAATTTGGCAACCCCAGCCCCACTTTGTCACTATATTAAGGAACCCAGAAGCCAGGAGAGGGGACGAATGAAGCAAGGTCATACGGAAAGGCCTGTGAGTTGTTGTGAATCCACGTATAAGCCCTATGAAGAAAAGCCAAGAAAAGGGTCCAAGGGAGTGCTGTGCCTATCCCCAGAAGGCCTGGAATTGAGTTCACTGGGTTAGAGAGGCGGGGATGGGCCCTAAGCTCTGCTCCACAGATGATCCACTTTTCAGGCTTCTGTTCCACACGTTTAAACTGCAAGGAGACCTGGGGCCTGGCTCAAGCCGGGGAGCGGGTGTGAGTCCCCTTGCCTTAGCCAAGCCAGTGTGGACCAGCCTTCTTCTCCTCCCTCAGTCCCCATAGGACCAGGTGGTGCTTTGACTCTCCAAAATGGCAGATGGGGTAGGAGGATGCTGGGTTCTCTGTGCTGTCCCGGCCTCTCCTGCTCTGGCCTGACTTTGGACAATAAATCACTCTCCATTGTGTCCCTCCACCAACACGGCAGCTTGCTGTATTTGGTTTTAGAACAGCCTGTGGGGACTTTAGGGGGCAGTGTGCTGAAGGGCGGGAGACCCCAGACAGGCGCCGGTGGCTCACACCTGTAATCCAGCTACTCAGGAGGCTGAGATCTGAGGATCTCGGTTCAAAACCTGCCTGGGCAGGAACTTCATGAGACTTTTTTTTTTTTGTCAGTCATGGGGCTTGAACTCTGGGCCTGAGCGCTGTCCCTCAGCTCTTCAGCTCAAGGCTAGCACGCTACCACTTGAGCTACAGTGCCACTTCTGGTTTTCTGGTGGTTTATTGGAGATAACAGTCTCACAGACTTTCCTGCCTGGGCTGGCTTTCAACCGAGATCCTCAGATCTCAGCCTCCTGAGTAGCTAGGATGACAGGTGTGAGTCACCGGTGCCCAGCTTAATTTTATTTCTTTCATTTATTTATTTATTGTTTATGTGGTACTGAGGACTAGAACCCAGGGCCTCATGCATACTAGGCAAGCACTCTACCACTAAGCCACATTCCCAGTCCCAAGAGTACATTTCTTTCTTTCTTTCCTTTCTTTCTTTCTTTCTTTTTGGGGGGTGGGGAGGATAGTGTTCCTCCTTCGCTCACTCTCTCCCAGTTTTTCCCTCCCATCTCCACCCACAAGTTGTATAGTTCAATCTCAACACAGTGCCCTCTTCTGTGCCTTTTCTTACATTACCAAACACATAAATGAACAAACAGAACAAAAAGGATAGAAGCTTTTGGTTTCATTTCCTGGAGTTCATTTATTTTTATTTAGTGACTTTTTTTGGTTTATTTATGTGGTACTCAGGAATCAAACCCAGAGCCTCAGCCAGGAGCCGGTGGCTCATGCGTATAATCCTAGCTACTCAGGAGGCTAAGATCTGAGGATCACTGTTCAAAGCCAGCCCAGGCGGGAAAGTCTGTGAGACTTATCTCCAATAAACCACCAGAAAACCAGAAGTGGTGCTGTGGCTCAAGTAGTAGAGTGCTAGCCTCAAGCTGAAGAGCTGAGGGACAATGCCCAGGCCCAGAGTTCAAGTCCCACGACTGACAAAAAAGCAAAACAAAACACCCCATGCATGCTAGGCAAGCACTCTACCACTAAGCCACATTCTCAGTCTTCCTGGAGTTCATTTCCATAAGTGTCATTTTGTATGATCAGATGCACAGAGGCATTGTGCCTTTCTGTTCCTCCTTTGTCTGTATCCTCCTATGGTCTCACTGTGCATGAATACCTAGAGTTTTGTATAATTTATCATGCCCTGGTATATTTTAGATCTAGCCTTGGCATATGAGAGGAAGCACGCACTTTTGTCTCTCTGAGCTTGGCTTGCCTCACTTAGCATGATTTTTTCTAGGTCCATCCATTTCCCTGCAAATGACAATTTGTTCTCTCTAATGGCTGTGTAAAGTTTCATTGCGTATAGGTATCACATTATTTTGGATCCACTCATTTATTGCAGGGCATCTAGGTTGCTCCCACAAGTTGGCTATTGTGAATAGTGCAGCAATGAACACAGATGTTCAAGAGTCTTGTTCAAGTGTCTTTGTGGAATCTTGGCTTGTGATATTCTAGATAGCTGCTCAGGAGTGGTATGAACTTTTTTCTTGTGCCAATACTGGGGCTTGAACTCAGGGCCTACACACTGTTCCTTAGCTTTATATATATATATATTATATATATATAATATATATATATATATACACACACCTATATATATATTTCCCCCAATTTTCCCCACCCATCTCTGCTCCCAATGCTTTCTTGCTTAAGCCTGCTGCTCTACCACTTGAGCCACACCTCCACTTCAGCTTTTTGCTGATTAAGCCGAAAGGTGTCATAACTTTTGTCTGCCTGGGCTTTGTTGAAGGTTTGCTTTTCTTTTTGTCGGTCATGGGGCCTGAACTCAGCTCTCCAGCTCAAGGCTATCA